AGTAGTTAGTAGCTATTTAGTAGTAGTAGTAGTAGTAGTAGTAGTAGTAGAGTAGTCGTAGGCAGTCGTAGTAGCGTTTAGTAGTCGTAGTAGTCGCCAGTAGTAGTAGTAGATAGTAGTAGTAGTAGTATAGTAGTAGTAGTAGTAGTAGTAGTAGTAATAGTAATAGTATAGTCGTAGTAGTAGTCGTAGTAGTAGTAGTAGTAGTAGTAGTAGTAGTAGTAGTCGTAGTAGTCTAGTTGTAGTTAGTAGTAGTAGTAGTAGTAAAAGTCGTAGTCGTAGTCGTAGGTCGTAGTCGAAGTCGTAGTAGTCGTAGTCGAAGTCGTAGTCGTAGTCGTAGTAGTCGTAGTCGTAGTCGTAGTCGTAGTCGTAGTCGTAGTCGTAGTCGTAGTCGTAGGTCGTAGTCGTAGTCGTAGTCGTAGTCGTAGTCGTAGTCGTAGTCGTAGTCGTAGTCGTAGTCGTAGTCGTAGTCGTAGTCGTAGTCGTAGTCGTAGTCGTAGTCGTAGTCGTAGTCGTAGTCGTAGTCGTAGTCGTAGTCGTAGTCGTAGCGTAGTCGTAGTCGTAGTCGTAGTCGTAGTCGTAGTCGTAGTCGTAGTAGTCATAGTAGTCGTAGTAGTCGTAGTAGTCGTAGTAGTCGTAGTCGTAGTCGTAGTCGTAGTCGTAGTCGTAGTCGTAGTCGTAGTAGTAGTAGCAGCAGTAGTAGTAGTAGTAGTAGTAGTAGTGGTAGTAGTAGTAGTAGTAGTAGTGGTAGTGGTGGTGGTGGTAGTGGTAGTAGTAGTAGTAGTAGTAGTAGTAGTAGGTAGTAGTAGTAGTAAGTAGTAGTAGTGAGTAAAGTAAGAGTAAGTAGTAGTAGTCGGAGTAGTAGTAGTAGTGTAGTAGTAGGAGCAGTAGTAGTCTGAGCGCCAAAGAGGCTTTTTTCTTTTCTCTTCTTTTATTTTTTCTCTTCTTTTTTTTCTTTTTCTTTTTTTTTTCTCGGAGAGCCCAAGAAGCGCTCCGGATGCCCCAAGAAGCTCTTCTGAGGCCCCACGAGGCTCTTCGGAGAGCCCAAGAGGCTCTTAGGCGGCTGCAAGAAGGTCTTCGGCGGCTCCAAGAGGCTCTTCGGAGAGCACCAGAGGCTCTTCCGAGAGGCTCTTCGGTGAAGGGGGGGGGGGCGGAGCCTTTTTGGACCCCCACCCCCCTTCACCGCACTCGATAATTAGTACACTCCGGAAGACCCCTGGCCATACTAACACCCACCGGGCCGCAGTAACAACCAACGGGCCGCAGTAACACCTTATCTCCCCGGGGGACCCCCCCCCTCCGGCGGGGAAGGGATCGAAGGGAAGGGGCCTTCGACTCAATTGCGACGTTGCTCAACTTCGCTTTGGTTGGCGCGCTGAGGAGGTCCCTGGGAAAGGGGGGAGCTTCGACGAGCCCAGGGAAAGGGGGAGGCAGGGGACGACAGAGACGACGACCAACGAATGACAGAAATGACGACTTCAACGGACAAGCCCCTCACACACGCCGACAGGGTCGGCGGATTTGTCTTACAATAGTGCGCGTGGCCCCTTTGATGAGAGCGTCACAGTGGGAATCAAAGGCGATCAGAGGCCAGTGCTGATATTAAACGCTATGGTTCCATTCGCTTTCTGAAGGCTGCGATCTTGCTTTAATGAGGCGTACGTTGTGCTGGTTGCTGCGGACACCGTTGACTGGGTCACACATCGTCGGCGGTAGGCACTCTTGCGTATTTCAGATGATCATGTTTCGAAACTGGACAGTGCTGATTCGTCCGAGCTGGAATGATCGTTCATGTGCACATATGCTAAACCCAGAGGGATCTGTCGAGGACGCTACCAACCACCAGGATATGAGCATACGCGTTCGACGGTAAGCTTTGTGCCAGCTTGCGCTAGTCGTTTGCATACGTATGTGTTTTGGCGACTCTTCCTTTTTGAGGGTTGCGCGTGTGGTTCGTGTGGTGAGAAGTACATCGGGAATCAAAGGCAATCAGGGCGATTCTGCTACCACATGCCATGGTTTCATTCGATTTCTGAAGGCTGCAATGTTGCTTCAATGACGCGTGCGTATATTGCTTGCAGTGGAAAGGGCCGACTTCGTTAGATGCCATTGGCGGCATACACTATTGAGTGTTTCAGGTGTTCTGTTTGGAGGGCTGTGGTGCTGATTCGATAGAGCTGGGATGATCTTCCAATTTGCACATATGTTAGATCCAGAGGCAGAAGCCGAGGACGCTACCAACAATCAAGATCTGAGCGCACGCTGGTGATATGTACTGTGTGCCTGAGCCTCCGCTGGTCGTTCGCAGACGTCTGTGTATTGTCGGGTGTGTTTTGTGAGGTGAGACATGGCGCGGCATTGCCATCAGAGCATGTTTTGATTGGGTCGTGTGCATGTGTGTGCATGTTTTTGCGTACGATTCCTGTGATGAGAGCGTCACAGTGGGAATCAAAGGCGATCAGACCGATGCTGATACTAGACGCTATGGTTCCATTCGCTTTCTGAAGGCTGCGTTGCTGCTTCAATGATGCGAGTGCTGTGTTGCTTTTCAGTGGTATGGTCGATTGGGCTAGATGATGTCGGCGTCCGGGACTATTGTGTGTTTCAGGTGTTCTTGTCTCGGACGACAGATGATTCTTGTTCGGAAAGGTTAGGATGATCGTTCAAGTTGCACATGCGATAGATCCAGAGGCAGATGCCGAGGACGCACCAACCACCAAGATCTGACCATACTTACGCGCTTTTGATCGTCTAGTTTGAGAAGGCCTTCGATAAATGTTGACGTGTCTGTGTGTGTGTGTGTGTTGGCCGCTGGTTGATATCCATGATTGTATTGTGGGTTTGTGTGTGCACGAGTTTGTAATGCGTTATGCTTCTTGCAACACTCTTTGCCGAG